GTTATCTCAATGGGTCTCAAACGTTTTGATCACAATTTATGTAAACACATATTTCAGTAAAATATATTTCGCGCCAGCTAAAATCTCGCCTGGGCTACAAATTGTCTAGAGCCGGCCCTGATTATCCTGTTTTCTGTTTTTCCAAAAACTCAGATCCACTGGCCAGCGTCTGCGAAGAGAAAGGGAGAATGTCAGATGACGGGAAAGGGAAGACAGGTGGGATCACGTCATGTAACATCCTGTTCTTTCACACATCTCAGACTTCTGCTTTCAGGACGATACAATGTCTGGTATTCACCTCCGCTTTGTCCTCTTTGTGCAGGGTGAATGTGCCAACTTCGTGCGTATGATCGAGCCGTGGAACCGCACCCACCTGTACACCTGCGGCACGGGGGCGTACCAGCCCATCTGCACCTTCATCAACAGAGGCTGGAAGGCGGAGGTGAACATTACAGCTTCCCCCGAGTGGCTTTACAGCAGGCGGGAGAGCGGTGTCCTGCTAAATATTTCAGAGCTACAAACTGGGACACTGATTAGTTTGTGGTTTCCCCCGCACTCCCATGTGACGTGTTTTCTATTTCCATGCATGCTCTCCTCTGCAGGACTACCTGTTCAGGCTGGTGCCCGGGTACGTGGATTCAGGGAAGGGGAAATGCTCCTATGATCCGAAACAGGAGAACATCGCAGTTCTGATCAGTAAGACTTCATTGTATTTCATTTAGAAGAAGAAGCCTCTTGTTTCTGTATGAAGCACTTACAAAGGTTTGACTTAGTAAATGTTCTCTAGCAAGGAAGGGAGGAAGGGAAGGATGAAAGGATGTAGGGATTTAGGGAGGGAGGGGTCAAGGGATGTTTGGAGGGAGGGAGAATTGGATACATTATTATTATGTCTGTGATTGATGGAGGGATAGAGGGATGTAGGGTTGAATAAATGAATGATCATAGGAATAGAGGGGTAAAGGGAATAGTAGGGGAAGGTTGAAAGGATGTAGGAAAGTAGCAAGGGAAGGGTGGGTCTTAAAATCGCAGACAAACATGGCTGGATGTGTTGACAAGGTAGCTCAGCAGCTAATTTAATCTAATATACTTTCAGGATTTCTTGCTGTTTTTAGTTTCCATCTTCCAGCAATTTGCTCCAGATAAAAGCATCAATTGATTTTAGAAAAATGCTCAATACCTTCCTCACTCCCATAAGAAAAGACTTTCAGAGTTACAAAAATACAATAAACACAGCAGCAGCATAATAATACAACTGTACACTAACAGTGCAGTAAGAAGAGCAATTAAACATCTATAGGAAACATAGACGGTCACATCATTAATATAATAAAAGTATTTAGTAATGAAAAGATACGTATTTGCACGCTATCATAGCATATTATTAATAATATTGCACTTGTTATATAGCAGCGAGTGTTTTTTAATGATGGTAATGGTATTTATATTGCACATAGTGTTGGTGTGGGAGTTCTCAGTTCCCTTTACTGAAGGGTGAAGACGAGTTATAGATCGAAAGTGTCACCGCTCTCTTCTCTTCTTGCTCCGTGTGCAGATGGTAACCTGTACGCTGGCGTCCACATCGACTTCATGAGCACGGACGCTGCTCTGTTCAGGACGATGGGCGGCCGGACGGCCATCCGGACGGAGCAGTACGACTCCCGCTGGCTGAACGGTGAGTCAGGGAGTCAGGGAGGGTGAGGAGGTAAACCAGGGGGGTCCAAACTTTCACAATTACTCTAGGAGTACGTTGCCCCATTTATCTAAAAGGTTTTGTA